CCTTGAGGAGAAGAAGACTTCCTTTCACCTCTCCTAGCTGATATATTCACGTCGTGCTGCCGTTTTGATCTTTTTTCTTTTCCGTTTTAACGGCCACGGAAGAGTTTGTCCTACTCTGATAAATTTGTGTTGTATTATATAATCATTTATTTACATTTTATTTTATATTTAACTTTATTAAAAATGACCTGGCTTTTGTGATTATTAACAATATAAAAAAAGAGAATACATTTTAAGTAATAATTATATTTTTTAATGTATTTTTCTCAAATATAAATGTATTTATATATATATATATATATATTTTCGAGAGGGGGCTTGGTTTGAAGGTTTGGGGCTTATTTAGAAATTCTCCCCACATCCTGTCGCTCAAAATAAGCCAAATTATTGTACCTTCTACACCACGTGGCGCTCTTCTAGTCAATCAAACCAGTGGTTGTATGCAGAATGCGTGCATCTAAAATCAAAATGTTTTTTCTCCTTCCCTCCTCATCTTCTCACATTAACGCTAATATGTGGAAAAAAAATAAAAAGCCCTTGAACACCAGTGAAGCACAAAGCTGAAACCTCTGTTTCCATCATTCTTTATTGTCTAAAAACAGTGTGTTTGGAAGAAAGGAGAAAGACAAAAGAATGATGGATGTTGCGGTTTCATACAGGGGTGGATTCAACATCAACGGAAGCGGCTTGACCGGCACTCTCGCTGCCAATCCTGGAGAGCTGAAGCTTCAAGCTTCCATTACCGACGCCAACATCTCTAATGGCCTCTATTTTGACTTCGGTGGCCTCTTACTCTCCATTGAGAAGCCTGGTTCCTTCATTGTCGACTATGACGTCCCCAAAAAGGTATGCTTCTAGACAGATTTAGAATTGTGGAGTTGCTGCTTGGTTGTCAGGAAAATGTTGGATGAAAAAGAAGGTTGACACAAATTTGAATCTTTTCTTTCTTCCTAACGTGGAGGTTTAATTGTTGTTGCACAGGATGTTCGGTTTCAGTTTATGAATTCATTCAAGTTCATGGAAAAGCAGATAAATTTCACTTATACTCACACGAGACAAGAAAACAGGACGATTTTGGATGGGTCGTTGGTGCTTGATACTGCTAACAAGTTGTCTGCAAATTATGCGCTTGATACTCGCAATTGCAAGTTGAAGTACAGTCATGTTCATAGGGGGTTGACAACGTTGGAGCCGACCTATGATTTTGCCAAGAATTCGTGGGACTTGGCCGTGTCGCGGAGAGTTCTTGATGGTGATGTAATCAGAGCTTCGTATGAGACATCTAGCCAGATTTTGGGTCTTGAGTGGTCTTGGCAATCCATGATGGATAAAGGTGGAAGGTACAAGGTATAATATTATTACTTATAATTATGCTTTGACATTCTGTTTTCCCCATTGCTTCATGACTCTTGAGGTTAAAGGTTCAGAGTTTACAATATTTCATGCATTTACAGTGTGTGTGCCGAAAGTAAATGAGTTCATAGTGCCTAAAATACGGTGACAACTTCTCTACCAACTTTTAGCTGAAAGCATATGACTGGTACTGAGTTCAAGACTCACATCGTGGGTTCTCTCATTCAAGTACTGTGCTCCTAAGAATCCAATTTAATCCTGTTTGAGTGCATTTTGTGAGAGAAAATGGTGGTGATTTGTGTATTTCTACAGTGGATTACACGTCTATTTAATAAGTTCAATTGTGGGGACAAAATAGCGGATAAAAATCTGTTATGATTTGACTAAGTTAAGGAACCCATCATATATGTTATAGAAAA